ACTACCAGCTTTCAACTCAAGATAAAGGAGGCTATCCATATTCAAAAAGAACTACCTTGCCTCAATCAGCGATTACACCATGTAAATCTAAAATTATCCTTTTAATTTACACCTTTTCACGTTCTGTTGTTACTATTTGTCTTAATTAACATTTTTGCCTACTTATTATTCAACTTGCTTTGTAATCATTCATTCAACTGAAGATGACAGAAGTTCTGTCGAAACATGTCTTTTAAACTCAAAAAATTGGTCGTTTTCCTTAAAATTTTTACATGTCTGCTGCTATCTAGACCTTTTGGAAATTCATATCATTACGCGTACTAATAATGAATTTTTAAATAAAACACCGATGTTTGCAAGTTCGAAATTTTGTCCGTAAAAAATCGTCATATGGTCAACTGTAATTTTTCGGAGCTTGGGATACCTGTGGTCATAATACTTGGCTTTTGCATTTCTGAAATCATTTGCAACTGACCAGCGTCACTTTGTAATTAAACAAGTATGGCGGACACTTGTAACTACCACTGTTTTGTTCTTCTTGCTGTCACAACCGTGTTTCTTGGTCTTCCTCGGTTCACATCAGGTGAGATAGCAGTCCTTAATTCTTTTAGTCTTGTTCTTTTATTCACACGAAATCACGTCATAACAGAATAACCTTATGCCGACATGCCGGCTACAAGTCGCATGACAGACATCAACACGATGTTGCAATTGACCTCTGCTTTAATTAACCAATGCAGCGCCCTCCACGAACGAAAACGGCTGTGTTAACGCAACTAAACAAGGACACTAAAAGATTGAAAAAACTCACCACGAAAGCAGCAAACCAATGAAAGCTGTTACACTGTAAATAAAGCCAGCAAATGACGAACACGGCTCTAATATACATTATGCCAAGAGAATTCGCCTACTACAAAACTAAAACATTATTTCGAATCGCTTGGCATTTCTGAACGAATGTCGAATACTCTCAGAGGGTTTCAACCGTAATTTGTGTGGACTGAAGTCTATGAGAATTGACTCCAGAGTCAGAGCACGAATATATTCAAAGTGTCGAAACTTCGATATTTTCTTAACATGCCCACGCTCAACTTCAAAGCCAAAATGACACTTGAAATCACTAGACGTTTATATTCTAAGAAGAATTGAGAGGGGAAGAACTGAACAGGAAAGCGTTTTTTTTTTTTTTTTAGCTACCGGGTATCTAGGCACACATGATCGGTTATTATAATTAATTATTTTGTAGTTGAACAGCTAGCGCATCCTACCCCCGGTCCGCCATTTCGAAAGACACCTTAGCTCGTTTGTAATTACCCTTTTTATGTTATAAATATTTAATCTCTTCATGTTCCTCGGTCAACAAACGACTACGTGTACTTCTGGAAAAATAAGCAAAGTTAAAATATTCGAAAACTAATACACAATGCACCACAGGCCGCGCAAGCTCAGTGCAGCAAAAAGCTTTGTACGGGAATAAAATTTAGTCTTCAATATGCTTCATTAAAACTATGAATGAAGATTTCTTTGTGTCTGTTGTGCAATTTGGACGCAAGTTGAGTCCATTTTAAACGGGTTTGATTTTTACGGGTTTTTTTTGATGTGATATGGTGGTGAATTTGACAACCTCGTGTGGATTAGCCCATTTCTACTAATCTAAATCGTTTGGAGTGTTTGTATATCTGGCTGCAAACGGTCGTTCACCTATACTTATCTAGTCTCCTCCGCAGCCGTTTTTTGGGATGTCACGCAACGCTCCCCCCAAAGAAACGGCTGCTCACATCCGAACAACATTCCTTTCACGAAATTAGCCAATCACCGCTTCCGTTCCATTTTCAATAACGTTTTCGCGCCAAATTCGCCCTTTGAAACTTGTCCAATCAGGGAATGTTTTTTATCTTTGTATCCCGTCGTGGGAGATGTCACAAATAAACATACAGATTTCCGGCTTTTGTTTAGGGACGCCAAAAAATACCGGCGACGCTTGAACGAGCTTTCTATGTAGCTGAAGACTCTTCAAAGTTCAAGTTAATTATTAGAAGCTTTCAACTCAAAAAATTACTGTC